TTATTTTAGAGATTACTAAGTGATTTTTAAGCGATTATTCTCCGAATATTATTATAATCAGTGATAAAATTCATGAATTTATTTATAAAATATCTATGTAGGACTTTCTTTACACGTATGTGACGACCAATATTTTAAATGTAGGTACTATTCAGGTAATTGTATTAACTAGTGTTATATTCGCCTTACAAATGCGTAACATAATTTATTTATATCTAATATGTCTTTGATGTTAGATTGATTCCAAGGCTGGTATTACACTTGTTCAACATCGGTTGATCGACTCATTGTTTTGATCTAACACGTACAATCACGTACTAAAAAGCCGGTAAACATCAAACAAAAGTATTGGTCGATCGAATTATTTTAAATATATTTCAATAATATTATACAGAGTGATTCACCAAGCATGCTCACCTCTATTTTCTCCTTTAATAATGAATTTATTCAAAATTCATTTTCTGAAATCTGTTTCTAAAGGGGGGGGGCCCTTTTACTATCAATTATTTAGTGGATATTTTTTTTGAAAATTTGTTTGTGTCTAGTTCAAAATTCAAACTTGTAGTTTTTCAGTCATTGAAATTTTTGTAGATACTAAGGATAATAATAATAAAATGGTTTTATAAAAATGTAAAATATGTGTAATATTGGATCTAATATTTGGCCATTTTAAAAAATGATAAAAGTTGATGGATTAGTACTAATCACTAAAATTTTCAAATCACCATAGCCCCCCCCCCCCCATATCTTACAACTTACCACTTATCAGCATGGACCTATTATCCTCACAATTTTTTTGCAAATAAACATTATTATTATTATTATTATTATTATATATATAGGTAACTTGAAAGGCATTAAAAATGATTAGGTGAGTTAATTTTTCAAATTGTTTTAAACTTTTTGAAATATTAGTCAACTATTGGTTGTATTAAGGGGGATTGGAAGCGGTGATTTTCTGTCTTTGTTTAACACGAGGGGTACATGAAAAAATAGCTATACACCTGACAAAAATAAAGGTACTTTAGATACTTCTATTTGTTCGATTTAAAAAATGTAAAGATTTTTGAATTGATATACAAGTTTACTTTACATCGGTCGAAGCATATTTTTAATATATTTAATATTAAAAATTGACAAATTTATAAAATGTAAAATATATATTTTCATCAAAATATTGCTATACAATTGAAAAAGTGCTTCGACCGATGTAAAGTAAACTTGTATACCAAATCAAACATCTTCACATTTTTTAAATCGAACAACTATTATAAGTAGATACCTTAATTTTTGTTATTTTTCGTATGTCCCATGTGTGTTAGACAAAGGCAGAAAATCACCGCTTCCAATCCCCTTAATATTTGGATTTAAAATTGTTTAGGTTGTTTTTTTAATAATACGTATGGTTCTTAGAAATTGAGAACAATAAAACGGTATTCCACATTATCATTGCAATTTTTAATAGATAGAATACAATTTAAATCTAAAAATTTTACACATAACTAGTAAATTGATCTGCCTTATTGTTATGTTACCTATTCAAACTTATAATACTTTATTGACCAATTTTTAAATTATAACTTTACTTATTAATAATAACATAAAATCACAATGGTTACTAATAACTAAGATAAGGACTAAAAATATACCTCAACAGTATCATGTGACTTTGAAATAACTAAAGAAGCTTCAGCCAAAATAAATCTAATAGCCGATCATTTATTTTTGACAACATAAGATGATATAATATTAAACATAACACGATATCGGATATGTTTACCGCAGAGACAGAATAGATTAAATTATCTTATCAATTATAATCCTCAAACGTTGATAACAGGACGTTATTAAGCGAGTAACAAATGAGTTCAAATTATCAACACCTATTATATGAAGGATATGTATTGTGCATCTGTCAAACCAATATTATAATATGACACAGTCGTCTGGAACCCCAATGCAGTGTGCTACTAAAACCTATTGTCAACTTGAGAGAGTACAAAGAATATTTTTTAGGTTTGCCAGCTATGTTCTTAAAATTGATTCTCCTTCCCCTACCCATGACTACTCTCCTATGTTGGCACATCTTAGTAGCATATCTAGAATTTTTTTTAGCCGATCGTAATTCGTAGGTATAGAGCTAATAATTTAACTTTTATTAAAAATGTGCTAAACGGCAAAATCGATTTTCCAATGTTATCTCAAATTAAAGCACACATTTTTCACATCACACGTCCTTCTGACGTTTTGTTCCATTCCACGTCCTTATTTCCTATAAAATTCTTATTATTAGAAAAATCAACCACTCCGTCATGGCATGTTACAAGCCAATAAGGATACCTATTATAGTATTATATTTTGTTTAAATATGTCATTGTTTCAACTTAATATTATTAATTATTATATAATAATATGTTAATTTACCTACCTACTTAAACTGTATTACAATTGTTGTTTATAAAAGCTACAAAGTTGGGCAAGTTAGTCATTTTTTTCAACTAGTTGAAGTTAAGCTACTTTAATAAAAAAACTAAGTTAGAATATAAGTTAGTTTCTGAAACTGCCTAAATTTTCAACTTAGTTAGAAGTGAGTTGGGCGAAAATAGTAACTTAAGTTAGTGTAGAAGTTAGAAGTTAGAAGTTAGTTTTTTTTATAGATTAAAAAAATTTTTTGTTGAAATGTAAATAATAAGTTATCTATTATTAAATTATTGATTAAAACTGAAAAATTGAATTGAATCCCAAATTGAATTGAAAGTAATTTGATCAAAATGTTCTAATTAGGTAAATAATAATTTAAATTAATTGATATATCATTTATCAGTTATTAAAACATAAAGGGTGAAACAAAATAAAAAAAATATATTACAGTATGAAAACCTAAAATATTTTTATTAAATAATAATACATAATATATTGTATATGATATTGTGATATAAATAAATAATAAAATATAGCTATTAAATCTTAAATATAGGTAATACTGTAATAGTTAAATAGTAATATAGATAACCGGGTAAATGTGAACCACCGATACACTACCACGAAAATTCGGCATCTACACTAACTATTTTTTAAGCCACCCGTATAGATACTATTTATATCTATAGTAGACATCAACATTCTATACAGACTACGCGAAAAAGCCGTGGTTCCTATGCGTGCATTATTATAAATACTAATAATTAATAATATAATATACGAGCCAATATAATCTATACAGGCATATATAGGCATACCTATAGCCATAATGTCATGATTGAAAAACAGCTCTTGGAATTTCAGAATGAAAAAAAAAAAAAATAATAACTAGTTAGTTTTTTTCTAACGAGTTAGATTAGACTATTTTACACATTAAATTCAACTAGTTAAGTTACAAAGTTAATATGAATTAAAACTAACTAGTTAAGTCAGAAAGTTACTTAAAATGTAACTTTCTAACTTAACTTTAACTTTCTAACTAGTTAGTGCCCAGCTTTGTAGGTATATGTTAATGCAGCGTAAAATATCAGTTTAAAGCACAATAAAATAATATACAAACCAAGGTACATACCTATAAATATCAGAAAAATTATAAATAAATTCTATGTTAAATATTAACAACTAAATAAGAATGAACTCGATAATTAATAACACAACAAGTAACAACTACAAAAATCTTCAAATCCCCCCCACACTTGCTATTTCTCCATTTTGTACAATCATAAGTAGTAAAGGTATACTATAGACTTATTTCGCCACAACCGCATATGTTGTCTCCGTTTAGGTTCCAAATAACCCATTTTACTCGGTTCTTTAGAGATTAATTAAAATATCAAAAAAAGCCACCGATATGCCCCAGATAATAATCTTAAATTAAAATGTTATATATAAGTCAATTATCTCTAATTTTAAAAATAACAAGGTAAAATTAATTATAGTGAAAGAAAAATTCGCTTTGTTCTACGTTTGTAAGTTGGAGACAACATAATATGCGGTGGGTGTTGCATCCTCTCAATGACTAGGTATTTAATCCAATCCCTATGTAACAACTTTAAATGTAATTTTAAGCTAATTTTATTTTTTGGAACGAAGTTCCTTATGGGGCGTTAGGTGGATGAGAGTCGCTGGAAAAAAATCGCAACACCAAAAAGCGTAACACCGAAAAGCGTAACACTGAAAAACGCAACATTGCTCGGCTCGGCTCGGCTCGGCTTTGCTCGGCTGCCGGCTTACATATCCCCTCCCTCCTCTCATATTATCGTATGTCCCCACTAGGATCGTACCATCTGGCAACCGGGTTCCATTCGCGTAGGCTACCCAACATCGGTCGTCACGCGCGTAGAGGTTACCGTCCCCCCCGGACCCATTAAACGAGTAATTATTTTTGACGAAGTATAACCAGGGCCGGCGGCAATGGGGGTATGGTGGGTCGTCACACCCCCCCTGTTGAATTTTTTGTAATTATCAGTCGGCAATTTCAAGAAGCCGTTGTCCTTTGGAAATTATACTTTTTGAAAAAAAAAAAAAATAAATATTAATATAGGAACGGGTCCCGGCAGTCAGCAGTTGAGAATTTACCAATTAAGAAATATAAATACTGCCGACTGATATTGTCGGCTAAGGAGTAAGGCCCGTATTATAATACTATAATATATATTTGTTTATGTACGTTGTACACGTTAAGTCCGTCGGCATATCAATGCCATCGCTAATCGGCATTCGGCAATCCCTATCTCAAGTACCCGTATAAAATCTTTTTCTATTATTACAATGATTGGTGGTTTATATCACTAGAAGGCCGTGCAGGAAAATAAAAATCTAATTATAGAATTACATACTATTTTATTAAATATTGTTGTTATCTATTCGACGGTTCGACTATTTGACGATGTATTGATTTGATTAAAAAAATGACAAATTAATTTGTCATGATTAAAACCATCAAAATAAGTGTAATGTGTAAACCTAATTGTAATTTTTGTACCTAAACGGGCTGAATTTTTTTAATTTTTTTAAAAATGTATTCTTCTAAACGAAAACGAATTAAATTCGAATGCATGGAATGTGGCAGCATTTTCAACAATGACTACAGGCTTCAACACGAACGTATAGTATTAATAGAATGTGCAATAAAATCATTATCAGAAATCTGCAATGATACTAACCAATTAGACAAACATATATCTAGTGCTAAAGTGTTTGCCATAAAAATGAAAATTGACCCGATTAGTGATTTTGAAAAGCACCATAGAAAACGAATAAAGCCTAGAAGAATTGATTCTAACTCATCTTCCCAAGTTAATTTCTCATTAGAGTCATTTTACAGAAAAGAATTTATTGAAGTGTTGGATACATTAATTACTTTAATGTCATCTAACTTGAAGTGCTGTCTTACTTCAGTTCAACCGACAACCGTTGTATAATATCTTATCGATTCCAATAAATCCATTAATTACAACTGAAGATATAAAAAATGCTTTTACGTTATTTCCTCCTAGTTCTGATATGTCAAAAGTAAGCGATTTTGATAGAAGTTTGTGTGAAGTTAATATATTGAGACAAAAAACAGATGATTGTAAGACACTGAATGAAATTATAGATATAAGTAATAAACTAAAAACTGTTATACCAACAGCTAATTATTTATGTAGACTTGCATTCACATCAGCAGTTTCTGCTGCATCTAACGAAAGGGTATTTAGTGTTTTTAAGTTGATAAAAAATTATTTAAGAACAACCATGACTGATAAGCGTTTCAAAAACTTACTTATACTCAACTTTTTTAAGGATATACTCGACAGTATAAACATGAGTGCAATGATAAAAAATTGGGCAACTTTAAAAGAACGCCGTATAATTGTATAAATTTTGTTGGAAGTAGGTATTTTAAATAGGTATATATATATTTTATTTATGAAATAATAATATATATGATTATTTAATTGTTATGAATGTTTTTTTTATTTTATTAGCTTTTACATTTTCAATTTATAATAAGTTAATTAGTTAATAAGTAATTACACATGTAACATGGCAGTGTAATAAACGTTTTTTATTCAAAATATTAATTATTAAATTTGTTTATAACACATAATAAACAAATGAGAAATACAATATTTATATTTTATACTTCAGGTAATCTGGTAATATTATTTGTTAAATAATATGATGTACTGCCATCTGCCGTCTGCTAAATTATAAAAAAATTTTATTATTTACTTTATTTTTTGAGTTATTGACAAACACTGATTGATTTATATTCGTACACGATTTATTTTTTAGATCTTAAAATAGTTCCGACAGCCTTGTATCTTTACATCTGTATGAAATACAAGTAACAAATATTTTAACTATGCATAAAATAGTTTAAAATGTCTTAGTTCTATATTTTGTTTTTGTTTTAACTATTTTACTTCACCTTAACACAGAAAAACCAGGAATTTTTATATTTCACGTATTTTTTTTTTTAGAAATTTTGAGTCGGCATAAATTAAATTTGAGTCGGCAATACTTGATCTCAAACCCCCCCGACAAAATTGTGTAACGCCGGCCCTGAGTATAACTTAGCCGGTATTCGACTTAGAGACCCCGGACTAATGGGCATCTCAATTTTTTAGGCCCCAGATGAATTTTCAACATTAGGGAACCAAAGCCCCCACCCCCCCTACATTTTGAGTTGAGTGTAACTCAGCCGGAATTCAAGTTAAAGACCTCGGACCAAGGGGGAACCCATTCTTATTATGAAGACTACAGTTTTCCGCTTTAGGGAACGGGGGCACCTCCTCCCCCCTTTTGGATTTTTCTTTTTTGATGGATTTTGGTCCGGGACAGTACTAACACCCACCTCGCCAAGGGGAAACTCGGGGTTTTGAGTTTTTGATGGGATTTATTGGGATTTTCATAAATATTGTTTTTATTGATAAGGAAAGTGATAAGAATTTTATTTTCAAAATAATTTTTGCCCCTTAAATTTATAAATTCCATTGTGATTTTCATTTAACTTCTTCTCTATATACATACAAATCTATTAAACAAATGAAATTAAAATTTACTTTTGAAAAACGATAATCGAGTACAAGCTGTATCAACCGTATCATTATTAAAATTTCTTTCAGTAGAATTTGACTTAACCATCAATAGGTTTGTTCCATAGACATATTAATATGCCTATTGTAATTTATTAATAATCCGTCGGAATCTACAACAAGATACAATACCACTATCGATGCAGTTTTTTCGAGATATATAGAAAAAATTCAATCACAAACATACGTGACATATTTCAGCTACCACAAACCAATATTTACTGTTATTGAGAATACTGATTAATTTCATAATTGCTTTGTACTTTTATAATGATTAAAATACCATTTTTTCATAATACTCAGAAAAAATTTATTATAATTTTATTACCATGCGCGCGATATATTTATACAAGCATTCATTTCTCTCTCTGTCTCTCTCTCTCTCTATCACTATTTATTTATATTTTTCTAACTATATATGTTTCCGCGTCTCGCATCACATGCACTGAACTTCGTTCCTGCCGAGTGTTCAACAACACTCACTGTTTTTTTTTGTCATAGTAATATTATATTAGGCATTGTTAAATAAAATTGTAATTCTATAAAAAAAAATACTTCAATAAAAATAATGTTTTGCACAATGTATACCTACATAATAATACATTATAATTCTTTTAGTACATACCTAATTATGTATTGCGATTGTTTAAAACAAAAATGTTACGTTAGGGTATCTATATGGTTGATTAATAAGGTTAGTTATAGACTATAGTATACAAAGCTAAGGTTTTAATGATTAAACTTTTTCTAAGATGTATAGAATATACTTAACTAGTTACAAACAATGATATTGGGTTTTAAAAATTCATGGATTTTTAATGTAGGTAGGTACATACAAACTATTGTTATTTTCAGTCATTAATATAAATACACATATTAATCAAGACATCAAGTTCATAAATTGTACAATCAACTAAATCTGTATAAGTACTAAATCATTTATATGAATTTTATATCACAACGAAATAATATATCAGTTTTGATTATGTTCTAATAATTGTGACATGTAGGAAATAAATAATAACATACCTATGTCATGGACAAATTATATGAATGGGTATATATCTATATATGTACGGTAAATTTAAAAAATAACCCATTAGAGAATATAGACTTCTTAGTTTCTGTTTATAAATGATCATAATTGCGATATACATATAAGCGTAACACTTCTATACTACTTAGCCTGAAATAAAGAAAAATACATTTTTGATTTAGAATTTTTAGATGGCCATCTAATATAATATACATATTATTATGGAAATTGAAATTGTTGAAAATTGATTACTTGCGTGTATCTTGAATATTATATTAATACAAACAGAATGTTTATCATACTTGTTATTATATTAAACTTTTAGATATCTTTGCAGAGCTTAACATTCCTCAATTATTGTATATTACAAATAACAAAAGTTAAATATTATTATATTTTGACAATTTTTGTAAATCATTAAATGCCATTACATTCCGGGGCATAGAGGATAATATAGTACCTATTTAGTTATAAATTAATACATTGAATAAATAATTTACATAAACAACAATTAATATTTTGTAAGTTGATAAAAGTTATTAATAAACAGTGAATTATTTATAATAGTAACTGAAATATAATAATTCAAAAAGTTCAATTAATTCTTATATATTTTAATTTTAATACATTTTTTAAACGATGTTATTCAGTAATTGAAAATATATTTATATGAATAAATTAAAATATTACTATATGTATCTAATAACACTTTTCAACAGAGAGATTGAATTTGGAGGATAATTTGTTGTTGACTGTTGTATTCCTATATTTTTTCTAATTTGTAATTAGTGACCATAAAAATTTTAAATTTATAAAATATTATTTTTTTAAAATATCATAAATAGATTCCTAATAAAACTTAAATCAATAATTACCGAAACAATACATTTATAATATGATATGTTTTTTGACAATAGTATAATAGAACTATATAGGTACGTATCGTTCTTATTATTTCGAAATAAAATTTATTTAAACGCTATAATAGTAAACACGTATCTAATAAGATTCAAAAATAAAACATTTAAATACATTTTGAATAGGTAGTTTATTATTTTAACTATATTTTTTATTATATGTTACAACAACCATTGAACCATGAACTTTACAAACATGAATAAACTTATAAGTTACATTAATATTATGCGTATTGTGTATAGATTGTGTTGATAAATACATGGATTAAATCAAATTTTAATTTACGAGTATGTGAAAATAACACAAAGTATTCGGGAATGAACTTTTACTCGACAAAATATACACGGTGCACCATTACAAATAACAAACAATCACTTGTTTTACAAAAATAAAATATATAAAAATTAGTATACATCATGATTTTAAGTTTATAAAAAATAGCGTTATCTAGCAGTTAATTTTTGATTTTAAAATATTTTTTTAAAAAAACCTGTACTGTTTAATATAATAATATTATGTTAATGAATTTGTGTTATTTATTTTGGATATAACTATAAATTGTAAGAGTTTTTTTGTTATTTTCTTAGACTACTACATTGCTTACCAAAAAATATATACAGACATAAGTGTTGACGTTACGTGAACAAATCTGTGATAAAATATAAACCAATATCCAATTTTATGCAAATTACAAACCACAGCCTTTAATTAAATTATTTAAAATATTCATACCACATCAAAAAAAATATTAACATTTATTTAGATCAATATTAATTAAATTAACCTTAATAATTAATGTATTTCTAATATAATAGGATAACATAATATTATGAAAATTATATTTATTTAGATTCGTATAATATATTATATTATGTATAATTGGACTGTATAATAATATTATAATTATGGTTATTCTTATGGTTAAAAAGTGGTTACATAAGATGTGTTTGTGTCATACATTGCATGCTTAATAAATAAATATTATTTTTCTTTGAAATATCGTATGATAATGATAAAAAAATAAAAATAGTCTATATCAAGAGCAAACAGTGATTCTTCAAATACAATGCTATTACCGCATATCCTTATGGTGAGACCGGAGATTCCAAAAGCTTTTTCGTCTGTTTATTATTATTATTATTATTATTGAAAAACAGAAATTCTGTTGAACCAGATCAAGTAAAGTATTGTATTTTTGTTTGAAGAACAGTGTTCAGTGGAACAATTCGATAGCTTCGTCAACATTAACACGCATGCATATAACTTACTGATATTGTTGATGATAGTAATAACAAGTTGTGTGAAATAATACATTTATAACATATAAAATATTCTTAATAACATTAAACTCTGTGTGACATAACGAACAATAAAATGTTGCATA